AGTGAGATGTCCAGGGTTCTCTCTTGCACCCAGAATCAAAATTCATTTCCAGTTGGGGCTGGCAAGTGGGCACGGTGGTTAAGGCACTAGACTCCCACCTGGCTGGCTGTGGTTTGAGTCTCAGACCTGGCTTGCTTTCTCACTTTCCCTCTCTCTCTCTCATCCTCTCTCTCTCTCTCTCTCTGGTCAAATTAAAAATAATAATTACAGAAAAATTAAAACTAAAAATAAAGAATTTATTTGCACTGCCTGCTGATCCCACAAAGGCACCCTCCTTGGGAATGTGTCCTCCTGAAGCCTGTTGACGAGAGCAGGACTGGACTGATGGGCAGCCTACGGCCCACTTGTCCCTGTCCTCTGGCAGACTGACCTTCCCATGACACAGGCTGTGTGGGACACAGCCACGTGGTCCTGACCATGAGCTTCACTGAGAGGTACTGGATCCACTGGGCCCAGGAACAGTGTGTGATATGATCCTTAAAAAGAGCATTTCTTCCAACATGGGGTCCATCAAAACAACGGTAAAGCAGAACTCCCTATGTTTCCTGCTAATTTACATTCCCTAAGGAACTGTGGAAATCAACTCCTTGTTTAAAAAAAAAAGAGAGAGAGAGAGAACTAAGGGTTTATGCATGAAAAAGCTTATGAAGGGAAGTCCCCTGGTGGAAAGAGATTAGTAGCCTGAGCTGACTCTGACAAAAACAGAACCCACCGGTGTTGGATTTTTTTTTTTTCTTTTCTTTCTTCCTTTTCTTTTCTTTCTTTCTTTTTTTTTTTTTTTTTTAGAAAACATGGAAATGTCTTACTTATTTGTTTCTCCTGAAAGAGAGAGAGAGAGACAGCCATTCCCAACAGGGTTCTCACAGCGCGATCCTTGCCCAGCCTCGGCCAGTCTGAGTCACGGACACGCGCACACCAGCGCGTACAGGGAGACGCTGGGACGCAGACTGGAACCTGCCAGGTGGGGCCCGCATCCCAGAGCATCGCACTGTTGCTGCAACACCCCAGCTGGCCCCAGTGTCAGACTCTGCTCAGGGAAGTCAGAGGGGTAGGAGGTGAACAGAGCTTGAGGACTTCTCTCCCAGGTCTTGCCCAGTGCCCGCTTTGCCCTTTATCAATGGACCTTGCTCTGGTCCCAGAGAAGATACCTGCTGCTTCCTTCAGATGGGCTTCCAGGACTGCTCTGCTCCACTCAGCTCTCCCGATCCAAGCCCCGGACCTTTCTCTTTTCCATGAAAACAATCAAGGTAAGATGAGAAGGTTTGGGGGAGGGGGGCTTGAGAAATATTCCTACAAACTAAAGTGAAAATAAAATGGAAAAGGAGTATATAACATTCCACAAACTGAGAAGCTCATTGCTCTCAGCAGCACTGCCCAGGGTAGGCAGAGCTGCCTGTCCCGCTGGCCCCTCGTAGGCAGCATCAGCTTCCCAGAAACAGGAAGCCCCAAGATTACCCTGATGCCTTGTCCCCTTCCCCATAGTGAAGGTCTCCTCTCTGTCCTCACCCAAAATTGTCTTAAATCTACCCCCTCTCCCCACCCCGCTGACTCCGCTTTGCTCAAGTGCTCATCTTCTCCAGGTCCATTGGCTTTTGCCATAGGGAGGGCACCACCATGCCCTCAAGTTCCCGTCTTCTCTTTTCTGATCCCCGTTCGTACCTTTCTTACCAATTCTGCAGCTTCATCTCTTTGCTCCAGCCTTTCTACCCAATTCCTTCCTCTCTGGCATGTCTGGTGAATGGCTCATCCTTTAATAAAACTCAACCCAAATGTTACCTCCTCCAGGAAGTCTCTGGGGACTTTCTTGGGTAGAGCTAGGGTTTTTGTTTTTGTTTTTGTTTTTCTTTCTTAAGTCTTTATTTTATTAATTATTGTTATTTTTAAATTTCCTATAGGACTTGTGTGCTCACCAGAGAAAAACAGAGAGAAAGTGAGAAAGCAAGTCACCAGTCTGGGATTCAGACTCGAACCATAGTGAGCCACATGGGAGTCCTGCACCTAATTACCACACCACTTGCTGGCCAAGAGCTAGTTGTTTTCTTCTCTGTGCACATTTCACTTACTCCATGATAATATTTATCTCGATGTGTTAGAATTGCTGATCAGCATGTCTGCCTACCCCACCATCCTTCACTGCAGCTGGTTCACAGACCTGGACAATGGGGTGGCATGGTGGCTGAGGAGCTGGGCTCCCACATGGGAGACAGCAGTTCAAGTCAAGTCAATGGCTTATGCTTCACATTCTCAGTGTCTAGCAGAGGGGATGACTCTCCTGACACAGCAGGAAACGCTTGATGGAGAAAGGCAGGGAGGGATAAAGAGAGGGAATGGAAACTTCACATTCTTACAGTTTCTGCAGTTCCTGAGTCACACCCTATGCCTTGTAAGAGATAAAAGGCAGTTTCCCTAAAAGAAATTCTAGCCCTGCATTAGCCTACTGTTCTCTGTCACAAATCCCATATGCTGCTGATTGCTCATATAGTTTCTTCAAAACTACTGGAGGGGCCTAGACTCCTAAGGAAGCAAAGGCCCGGGAAGATTAGTTAACGCCCTAAGGCCACACAGCCAATTAATGACAAAGGCAAGATTAAAATCGGGTCTCCTGGTGTCCAGGCCAGGGCCCTTGACACCACACCAACTGTCCTCTCTTTGAGTTTTCCCTCCAGGCAGCAGCATATAATTATCAACATTAGTATTTGGAATTTATATGCAGCTTTTGCTTCACTGGCTTTTTATTATCCTTTCAATTAGTAATTCCGTATGCAGGCCAGGCATGGAGCAAAGCCAGAGGAGGGAGGGGAGAAGCAGAGGGAGGCCACGGCCAAGTAGGGGCCATGAGCCCCTGTGAAAAGGAGGCCAGCGGGGAGCAAAGGTGCAGGACGGCATTCTGGCTCAAGGGAAAATCTCAATCTCTCTCTCTCTCTCTCTCATGCTGGCATGCCTCTGTGTGTGGGGGGGAGGTGTCTGGGCAGATACTATATGGGCCTCTAATGAGTGGTCTGAGAGCCTTCTTAGCCTCAAGGGGTTTATACTCTGATAGAAGCAGGAGCAAGAGTACATTTGACACCCAACAAGTTAAACGCCAATACCAGCCCTGACATAAGCCACAGGCTGAGGGAGTTCTCTGCCCAGCCTTGAAGGGAGGAGACTCCAACCCCAGGATGGGAGCACTCTCCCGGCTCCTCCCATGCATGCTGGGAGCTAAAGGGAACTGCTCCGTATGCCTGGTGTCTTGTGGGAGGAGGGGGTCCTGGAGCCCACCATGCAGTGTGCAATAGCAACCTTGGATGGGAGAAGGAGGAATACCACTGTCAAAGCCTGATTCCCAGTGCCTTCCAGCCTCAGCCCTAGCTGAGGCCTGCTCTGAGGTTTTCTTTACAGGCCTCTGCTTACCTTCATAAAATGAGAACCATTTGGCCTGGTGGCCTGGTGGTGAAGGTGGCTGGATTCCACATGGCTGACTGCATGGTTTGAGTCCTGGACCCAGAAGTTTGAAAAAATATGCCTGGCCTGCATGTGTGCATGCCCAAAATCCAGAAAAGAGGGTGAAATGGGAGAGACAGGATTACTGTGTGATCATGCGCCATGGGGGTGCTTTCTCACTTTTTCTCCCCTCCTCCAGTGACCAGATGTGCCCTCTCACGAATTAGAGGAGAGTGAATACTCTCCCCTGCTGATCTCCCAGGTCTGTGGTGAGACTAAAGACCTCAGGAGAGGGCTTGAAGAATAGCATCATCTACTTGTAGCACTCAAGATGGGGGTTAAAAAAAAAAAAAGGAAATTGAGTGGGGGGGGGCAGCTAAAGAACAGCATAGCTGGGGAGACAAGCAGTCAGCTCTCAGGTCTCCCACCGGGAGAGAAATGCTCGCCCCCTCAGGGCCTATTTGGTTTCAATATGTCACACATGACATCTCAATTTTGTCCTCATATGACCCCTCAGAGGTGCATACAGCTCCCCCATGCTGCCCAGGAGAAATCCGAGGCTTGAAGAAGCAAGTCCAAGGTTAGACAGCAGGAAGTGGGCCACTAGGACCAAAACTTTGGACCATGGGCTTCAAACCCCGCACAGTGCTGTCATCTCCAAACCCCAAAATTTCAGCTCTGGGAGCCGAGCATCCTCATCCGTAAAACTGGGAGCGTTCAGGAGCATGGGAGGGGGGATTATAGTGCCTATCAGAGTTGTTCAGAAAATAAAATGTGAAATGAGGATGAAAGATGCAACCTGGCATGGGGTCTGGTATATAGTAGGCACCCTATATTTGTTTTCCTTTTTAGAGCAGATAAATTATTAAAACTCAGGGCTTGGGAGCCTAGGAACTCTGAAATGCTTTGACAAGCCCAAGGGCCTCCCCATCGCTTCTGGGCTGCGCAGGTGGAGGGTAGAGAAGGGTTAGAAAAGAGGACTCAGCTCCAGAAACCAGAGAAGCCGGTTCCAGTTGCGCGCCCCTATCTCTGCCGCCTCCTCTGGGCTCCCCCCGACTTCCCGCAGATC